GCCAGGCTCACGATCGCGCACAATACTATTATCTTCCACATAATGATTCTGTACAAAATCGAATTTTTCACATAATTTTATGTGTAATGTGTGAAATCAAGTTTTGTTAATTATCAATCGACGTAAATATTCTTTTTTTGTTATTTAGACAGCACATATAATTTTTTTGAAGAAAAATGTAATAGTTGATGATCATTATTGTAGATTGGATGTTTGGTTTTATATATACACGCAGAGAAAAGATAGTCAACGCAGCTAAAATATAATTGTGTTAGTTAAAATATATCCTTATAATAGGAACAGTTAATGTCGTTGTTGCCAAAGCTCAATTTATTAACTGCTAAAATTTTGCAAAATTTGCTGCAGCGAAAAATATTCCACAGTAAAATGGCAACCGGCAACATCTCAGAAATAATTGCGAACCGTCAACTGACGCGAATAATAAATTTAATGAGATGATTTATAAATGGCATATTATACTCTAAATTTTTGATGTGATTAAAATTAATTGAATAAAGTTTCTAAGCTCTTATTTTACTTTTTAAAATTTTCCCGTTTCTTTGACCTTTATAACATTTATGCAATTATGTTGTAAAAGTAATTGTTTCTTTATTATTTCTTTATATAATTTTTAATTATTATTATCGCAATAAATAGTAAGAAAACAGCTATATTTATAACTATGACTATATTTATTATATGAAAATTATTTCATTTATCGTTATATCTTGATATTTTACTAAATTTTGTTATATTAATATTTAAAATTATTTATAGTATTTATAGTATTTATAGTATTATTTATATTATTTATAGTATGAATGTTCGGTTACGCGGCTAAAATAGTGAGGAATAGTTGCCACTTACTTAACTACTTATGTTAAGTACAAGCTTTTAATTTTAACTAATAAAGTGAACAGCAAATCTATTTTATCTTCACTAGCCAACCACCTTTTAGCAATAACAGCAAAATTTTAAGCAACTGACTTTCTTTAGCTGACTATTACTAAATCTTTTTTTTCGCGTGAAAGAATCATCTCTCACTAATTAGTTTACCTTTTGGAGACAGAAACACTTGTGATTGTGAGCTACTGTTTCGTTCATTGTATTTAAACACTGGATGCACACGGCACCAATAAGCACATATAATTCAAGACATTTTTAGAAAAAAATCGCGCCAATTGATCAAGCTAAGATCATGTCGGATTTTTCTGTCTATCAGATTAGCTTGAAAAGAATTGACTTTATCATATTAAGCCGTGGCCCACTCAATAGGTATCAAGACGATATGTCACAATAAGTCATTCAGTAGCTTATCAAATGTTTAAATTGAACATACACATATATTCACGAGTGCTTTATAATTAAACTGGCTTTTTGTTTATATAGCTTGTGTTTATATACATATAATAAAAAATTTTATAATAAATAAATGCTTGTATTCTAAATATATTATAAAAATATATCTCTCAGAAGATATTTTCTGCAAGATTAAATAAATGTGCAACAATCTCCGCAACAAAATATATGATAGTTTAGAAATAAATAATAAATAGATATGTCGATCATATGAAGACAGATTGAACAAATTTTAAGCAGATTTGTTTTTGCAAAAATAGTATTACGCAAGAATCGAATATCAAAAACAGCGTTTTTTTGGTTCTATCGGAGACAGATCTGATCTGCATTTGGCATCAATATGTCGTCGCATTACTATTGTCAATTTGATGTTGTTTTGATTTTGGCTTCAAAATGTATTCTTCACATTTGTTTTACATTTGAGATTATATGAGGACGTATTCTGGTTTTGCAATCAAGTAACTGGAATAATATATATGTATATATTCATATATGTATTATTGAGATTAATATGAAAAAGTTAATTTATTTGTATTTAAAATTATTGCAAGTATAATAATATTGCGAAATATTTAATTCCAAGAAGAATAACGTCGATTTAAAAAGAATGATATGATGTTATATATTTTCGCAAGTATATGGAATCAAATTTTATATAGATTTAAATAAAAGTGAAGTTCTTCAACGTTAATCTGATTTGTGCACAATTTTACGTATTTGCAATACGTATGAGGCAGAAGTGAAATTGATATCGTCGAATAATTATTAAATCAATTTTTATTTGCATATAAAGTAACGTGATTTTATTTCTTGTCAAACAATTTTACTCTGTAAAACAACTTTACTTCTTTTACGAATGATATGTTTTTTTTTTCGATAATTAAATTATCGGAAAAGGAATTGATTAAATTTATATTTAGATATATAGTTCTTCTTTGATTTCATTTGATTCAAATAATTTTCATTTTATTGTTTTCGTCAATCGTTAGCTTATACTTCGTATCTCTTTTAAATTTTTTACACATTATTGTATATGCACATACATTTATTCTTATCGTATATGTATCGTCAATTTTCCATTGTCTTCGTAAAGTTCTTCTCTGTCGATCAGTTATTGCAATTTTATTTTTATTCACGTATTCTCAATTATAGTTAATCTTTGAGTAATTAAATCTCGATAAGACATTATCATCTAATTACATCAAGATAATTCCTTCTTATCTGGATATCGCGCAAGATTTTGTTGCACATTTTGTTTAACACGAGTAGTGTACTGATTACAAAATCATGAGTGTCGAATCTTCTTTTGCGTATGATTTTTTTTGTTTCCTGAGTTTCTTTGTAAATATTATCGATGTACGATTATCGTTTTACATATGCGAATCACACAGTCACATTGATCACTTGCTTGCGAAAAATCATAGATAAACAAAAGAAAAATGCTATACAATTAATTCAGAATTTCTATAACAAATTTATGAAAAATATCAGTTATCTTTTTACCTGTTTCTGCGACAGTAGTTCAAAGGGTGCCGCCTGTATCAATTTTGTTGCGGAATAACATACAGAATGTGTTCTCCGACTCAGCCATTCGACTTTTTATAGGCGTCGTGTTTTTTCCAGTATTATAGCAGAGAAGAGTAACGGGATATGGGTATTTAATTTACATACATGAAATGTGAGTTATTTGGGAAGTAACCATCGTATACATGACGTCCTAGATTCATTGTTTGCCTTGATAATATGCGGGCCCTTATCAGACACCATGTACTATACCACTACAGATGCCATGTGTACTTAAGAATTAGCAGAAACTCGTGATCAAGGATCGGACAGCTTGACCTAGTTTCTCATGATGTGAAATAATCCGTACATCTCATATTTGTTCCGAGATTGTTTATTAACAATGTTTTACAACATTCTATTCGTGTCAAATGCACGAATATAGAATAAGTTCGTCATAACTAACAAATTCACATACTTATCCATCGTATTCAACATAGCATATATACATAACATTCTTTGTTTAAATCATCTCTAGAATTACGCTCAGAAAGAGGAATTCTCTGTCAACGTTACATTTTTTGAAAGATGTTATAAGAATTATCACACTCATGATACATAGCATACTATTTTAATCTATGTCCTCGAAGTTACGTTTAAAAAAACTGCAGCATCGTAAAAAACGTACACAGCATTCACAAGTGACTCATTCCGCGCTTATAACATTCTTCTCCCAGCACATTATATCATACAATATTATATATAAATTTACAAAATAATTACAAAATCGCTCTGAGATATTTGTGTGATCAAGTAAATTTTTTATTTTTCGAGTAATTAGAAAATCGATAAATCTTAAAATACTTTACATTACGTAAAAAATACATGATTTATAATACAATATTATATATTTTAATATTAAATATATTTTTTAAATAATTATAATCATCCTTCATAAATTTAAGAAACATCGTTTTTTAATCATATAAATTTTTTTAATAACAAAAACAAATTAATTAATTAATAATTAAATACTAATTATTGACATTGATTACCTTTTTCTACATCGTACTATTTTATATAATGTACTATTTTATACAAAAAGAAACATTATTATCAAAATATAATTAAAGTTAAAGACACCAATGACACAAATACCTCAGAATGCAGAGATCCGTACCAAAATTTTCGCAAAGAAATAATTTTGATCCGTATAAGTTTAATTTGCTTATAGAACATATAATTAAAAAGTAACTGATTGGTTAGCTGACCATAAATTTTTGCGAGATAAAATATTATTCTAGCGAAAGAGTATTTTCTCTTCGCTCAGTTTTCTCTGTAATAGTACGGAACAATAGGCATATAGCCGTAAAATTATAATTTATCTGCTATACATGCACATCTTGTGCATGCTTACATTAACAGATGTAATTTTCTAGCAGCTAAATCAAAATTTCATGTTACATCACAGTCTGCAATTTGTTACGTATCTCATACAGTCGATTGGAAGTGGACGCCTGCATTAATCTTCTAGACAACTTTCTAAAATCTAAAAAGTATATTCAATATAAATAATTCTTTTTTTTAGAAAATTATTCAATAAAATAAAAAAAAAAACATAATATGAAAAAAAGGAATATAATAAAAACGTTCGATATTAAAAATTCAATCTTTAGAAAAAATCTATTATTATAATATACATTATTAATAAGTATGTATTATTATTAAAATATATATTATTAACATATATTATTGCTCTGTATAGATACAGAAGAATTTTATTTTTTAACAGATTTCAGAACGTGGTCCAGCATACATCGTTCGACATTCAGAGCTATAATGTAACAAAAAATGCTATCTCAAATTGAAATGCTAATATTGTCTGTAGTATAACTAACTATGAGATGATCGAATACATTCCGCCATACAAAGCCTATTATTACAAATAATCGCAATCCAATTGTTTGGATTGTAACAATTCATTATAAAACGAATTGTAACTTGTTTAAAATTATCAAATTCACTTTTTTTTTCCTTTTATATCAATTGTAAACCCTGTCACAATTTTTTCGCTAGAACACATAGTAGATAATTTGATTGAATTTGGTCTACTTTTGCACCATAAAAAATGTGTTGATAAAAAACAAAAATTTCAATCATCAAATCTGTATAATTGATTTGATATGTAATGCAATTACGGCACAAAAAAGAGATTATCAATATTATCTTTGGCCAGTATGTATTTAGTGTTTTATTCATCTAATAACCAATTGTTCTCATATTTGTAGAGAATATTCCTTCAATAATTGTTCTGGCTTCGAATACAGATCTAGCTTTCCTATTAAAGTATCCTTTGTTATACGCGGACAGAACTTTCTGAAAAAGAAAGAAGTAAATTCAGGAATGCTTTAGGGAAAGAAGAGTGTATACATCGTACGATTGCGAGTATACATCGTACTATTATAAATTACTTACTCAATCGTTTTCTGATCCGCATCGATCGCGTTTTGCTATAAATGAGTGATTTCCATCCCATGAGGCAGTCTGTGGCCTTGAGTGTGACTCATACTAAGTTGCCTCGTTGCCATCCCACCACCACATTGACTGCTCCAATCCGCAGTGGGTACCGGTGTGCGGTAAAACTTCGACGAGGTTTTGTTAAATATCGGCAATAGTTCATTTGCCTCGGTGGATAAAGCCTGAACATGTAAGTTTTCAGTTAGGATATCGCAATAAAATACAACCAAGACAAAATTATGCGTAATATATATGACATGTAGTGTTTCTCATTAGATGTAATCTTGAAGATTTTTGATAAGTTTAAATATTACCTTTAGATAAATAATAGCATCTGTTCCATAGCCCTCACAACTGAGCAATACGATGTCGCCGTGCAGATACCTGGCGTACAATCGGGATAAAGGCAGACCGTAACCGTATCCTGCAAGCGGTACCGTATGAGCATCTGATTTGCTCGGTTGTGGAGCAGTACTATACATGTACTTAAATAAATGGTCCATTTGTGAACGAGGAATGCCGCCACCTCTGTCGGATATCTGTCGGAAAGCAGATTGTAAATCGGCGATAATTATTCACTGTGAACTAATTATATGTTGTCTAGGAATTGACATATTAATGAAACGGTTCGTTCTACCTTCACGCAAATATCCTCTTTTCCGCGCACTAGTAAAACTTCGAGTGGCGGATAATTGTCCGAGTCGCATCCATGGTGTTCCATCACAGCTCTCATACTATTCTTGAAGAGTTCGAATAACATATGGTACAAATGACTCGGTACATAAATAATCCTAATCTCACTACTGCGTTCAAGTTCTGAAAAATGGATCATCATGTAACAATTATGACCGGTTCTACCAATATAAGATTAATCTCATTTTTAACTTACTGTTCATCTTTTTTTTATTCTCAGAATTGAAAAAAGATAAAAAGTACATTAAATCGAGATTGAAGTTAATCCTACGTGATAGAACTGAGCTTTAATCGTTATTATCTTTTACTTAATAATCTTATCGAATAGTAAAATATAACCATAATCATACATACATAATCATAATTCTGTATTCATACAACAAGTATATATGAAGATAATGGTAGAAATTATAAAACTGCATATAATCTATCTCTATAAAAAATTATTTGTCTCAAATTACTTACTAACACTAATATAATCAACTTTGTTCAAACTTGCCGTTATGCTGTTTGACTCTCAATTCCGGACTAGCCAGATAATATTGATCGCACAAAAATCGTGCGTTCTCATAAGCGTCCTTAATGACGCCGATCACGTCACAGGATGGATCTATACATCCCACGTGTCTACTGTGCCCGTTCAACTGCCCACCAAAAAGGAGCGCTAAAATATAATAAAAAAAAGCATCAATAAAGTGCGATAAAATACAACTTATACTAAAATTTATTCAAGAAATATTCGATGAACTTACTATGTTGATTGATCAGCATACGAATGGAAATGCGAGACATGAAAAATCTGTCCAAGAAATACTGAATGCTGTTTTCAGTCTGAATATCCACGTCGTGGGATTCCTTCAGTTCCAAAACGCCCTGCGCCATTGTTTGAACAACGTCGGTATGCCTATTTCGTATTTTTATTAGAGCTTGGCAGAATCTGTAAGAAATCCAAGATTTCTGTTTAGTAATTCGTAGCATTTTGCGAATGATGTTTGCGAATATTGAAATCTGTTCCAAAAAATTCTTGATCTACATTACTCACTTGTCTAAAGTAGCATCGTTGACATCGACTTTTTCAAAGTGTATTATTTCTTCAAAAGATGTGATATATAAATTATTTACAATACCAACACTAGGCATCTTCAGTAAGTTTTCTGGCAACAAATGAATCTCCTTCATGATGTTGGCAAGGCGAACCGGCAATTCCTTCCTCAAGAATATGAAAGATTTCCTCTCACAAGCGCTTAGACCTGAAAAAAACATTCACGATATAATCACAATTTGCAAATATTAATCATAAATAATGTAATAAACTGATATAATGAATTATTAATCGATGAGGATATTTTATAGAATAATTGAAATTATTATTCTTTTTCTAAAATTTAATATACAAATATATAAAATTTATAATATATCTTAATTTAACGAGTAATAAAATTTGAATGATCATGCATTTTATTCGATAAGCACTTCATTTTATTTCTGATCAATTATTCTATCTTTGTCGATTAATAACATTTTGCGTAACGTGTTGATATTAACAGTCATCAAGACGTCTGCAATCGCAAGTCTTGTCAAAACAAGTTTCGTTTCGTATCATATTTTTTGTTTGCTAGACAAAATATATTCGTGAATGTTAGAAATACATCTTAAAAAAGCAACAAATTATCGAGGGGATCGATAGGAAAACAAACTGCAAAGAAAATGTTCACAAATAGCTATAACATTAATACTAATTTAATATTAAAACAATGATAAAATGTCAATAATATGTCATTTCTATAATTTATTTTAAATAGAAAGGATTTTCATGTCGTTTATTTAATATGTAATTCTCTAAAAAAAGTATCAGTATATAATAATAATTGTAGTAATATAAGTTTTTTTTTTGCTAAGCGCGGACAATGACATCTTTATCAAGAGCAATATTCACATATTCTATGCATTTTTATTTTTTACAGTTTAATATTATTCAGAAAAAGAGAGATAGAGAGGGAGGGGAGAGAGAGAGAGAGAGAGAGAGAGAGAGAGAGATATTAAAAATTACGATTATTTCAGGATTGGACCTAAATAGATGGAAATACATTCATTCATTTTTTGACTAATTGATAAGAGATATTCGTCACAGATGAATTAAGAATGTATACATGTATATAATTTTATCATTATTATGTAAGGATCTTATACGATTAATACTATCAGTATTAACAAATGTTGAATAATATTATTGATCATATTTGGTTAATATTGATAGATTGATATAAATATATTGATGGTAATAATATTTCTTAATTCTTGAACATATAGCGTTCTGTAATAGGGAATATCCTCTATCAGACAACAGATACTAATTCTCGAGAATTAAGACGTCTGGATCACCATCATTACTCTACTACGCGATATATTAGGTGTAGTAAAAAGAAATCCATTATTTTTGCATGAATGGAAAAATAATGGATTTTTTTTTATTACACCTAATATAATTTTGTCAATATTTGTTGATACTTATAGTAATAAATTTATTGCATAATGTCTGTCGAAAGAACGCATTCATATTTCCATTTGCACAATTAAGTACATAAAATTGAATGAGCTGAAACGTACTCAATAACACTGATCGTGTAATGTTGTGAAAATATTGATGCGTACGTCAGTATTACTGATTCAATATTATTAATCAATATTATTGATTCATTAAGTTTGTAATTATGTTGGACTGTCTCTTATTAATTTAATAAATATATTTTTCAATGCTGATTGAAGGCTGATTCACGAAAAATTAATGGAACCTTTTTTGATCATGTAATATATATAAACAAATTCTAACATAAAAATTTTAGAAAATTTAATATTTTACATTAATAATGATCAAATTAACATTATGTTAATATTTTTATTTCTACGTCTTATATATGCGAAAATTGACATTCTAAAAAACATATGTAAGAAACCACGTTGAAAAGTTGAATATTAAAGTGAAGTTAATATAAAAATCATTAACTTGTCCATATAGAATGTTGAAAAATCAATACAAACCGAATAACGTCCATCAACTTACATATACATTGACCTACTTAACGATGTGTCGCTATCACTATTGACAAATATGAACTATAGTTATGTTTTACCTATGCTCTTTGCTAAACACGCCTTCGCTAAACATTAGCACTGCTCAGTTTATAAGCTATTAGAACAATTTAAAAAATTCTTCATTTCAATGAAATTTTCTCTACTGTTAAGTTGAAATTTTTCCACCGGAAATACTTCTTTGTTAAAATTTTACACATTCTTGGACTTTGTTACACGTATTATCCTAAAACGAAACGCATTACTTATATTTTTAAACACGCGAAAAGTAAATGTTGCAAAAGAACGTGATGGAAACATCGACCAATCGTCCATGAAATATTTGGTATCGGCACGCTCGAGTAAACATCGATAAATCGATCCCTTATCTTCTCTCGTTGGAGTGAAAATTCAATTATTTATTATAGATATACTTGAGACATGTTCCCAGGTTGCAAACGTGTTCTGAAAATAAATCTCGACCTGGTAAGCGTGCAATATAAGAAGATTGTTACTTGAAACCGCGAGAGTCTAAAAAAAATGCGATTTTGTCCCAATCCACCGTAAAGTTCGTAACAAGCTTCAGAAATCTACGTGAAATACGTGAAAATAAATATGTTTTATATAAGCATTAAAAAAATATTTGTTTTATCGTCAAATAGATCTCGTAATATTTATTTTGGAATAATATCTTTTTATTAAACTGTGAAATTGATAATCAATTTAATAAATATTATTAACATTTATTGTACATTATTAATGTACAATACTTTTCTGTGCGTACAATATTATTAATATTTATTGTACGTACAAAAAAGTTCCTTGCTAAAAATTCGTATTCAACAGAGATTAGCATATTCACTGATTCTCTCCTTGGGAAAGCAATTGATAACGATTGTTTATCGCGAAGTAATCAACGAAAAATTGGAAAAATTGAAGAGACAACGAAGCTAAATATATGAGTTTTTGCAAAATTTTAATCAACCTTAATAAAGATTTAGATTGCGTCATTAGTTCAACTGCGGATACACTTATTCCTATCATATAATGGATCAAATTAATACGGAAACTTTCATAAGTCTGTTTTATAGTTAATTTCAAATAGAAGCCGCCACTTAAAACTACAAATGCTTCAAAGCATTTTATTGACCAATCAAAAGAAAGAATTTTACTAATTGATTAATCAAAAATGTTTCAAAGCATTTGTAGTATTAAGTGAACTGTAGCCTTGTACGGAGAAAAAGATGTGACGTTACGTAGTAATGATACAATTACTGATATGTACTAGGGCGCGTTCTAGATTATCACTCAAGTGCTATGTCTCATTTTATCATTGTTTAACATTCAGTGAACGACATGGATAAAATAATATCTGAGTAGCATTCATATGAGAAAATCCTACACTTCTGATAATTAGTTCTTAAAATTCTAAAAATTTCATATTCGATTGAAGTCATCTTATAAGGAAAATTTCCCAAAGCATGTAGGTAGACACATAAAGATACACACACTAGCATACTCATTAAATTCATGCATTAATATAAAATTTAAAATATAAAATTTAAATATACTATTAATTATTTAAAGAGAGCAATTTCGTGCTCCGAAATTAAATACTATAATAGCGTATATCGGGCAATGAGAGTATCAAGCGCGGAAATTGATACGTAAAAAGAATATAATTATCAAATAACATTTACATAATATAAAGATTTGTCGGTACTACTTTCTTTGATTAGGCGGCAAATAAGGTGGTATCGATAATCATTGTACATCTTTATATTATGTAAATATTATTTGATAAATATACTTTTTTTCGCGCATCAATTTCCGCGCTGTATTGGTGCTCTCATTGCTCGATATACTCTATTATAATTTTTAATATTAATAAAATTATTAAATGCGGACGCGCGGCAATATTTTTGTAAAATGATGAAACATTCAATTGGGGACATCTTGGCAACGTTAAGCAATCCATATTTCGATGTATTTATATCAGTGAATACAATTCATAAAATTTGTGTTTCAAAAGATTTGCGCAAATTTTACGAACTTCGTGCTGTTGAGAGAAATGCGAATATCTACTCGTGGGCGTCAAACGAGATTAGGTTTTCATGAATTTCGAAGAGAATCGTGACTGACTCTCATGATTTGATTCTAGAAGCGATCAGCTGAGAAATTGCCAGGAAATTGAACGCCCTTATCTGCCAGACGCAGATCAGTTGTCTTTTGCTTTTATATAAAATTCCATTTGACAAAGCGAAATTGAATAATGGAAAATCCTGTGGTACATGTGCTCACTGCTCATCACGCACGCTGGTCCTGACATTCACATTCATTGTCCAATGAATCCGTTGATCGGATTGAAACTTTTCAATATTGCGCAATGTAAATTATGTTAAACTGCATATGATTATGATTTTTTTAATTATGATTTTTTAGCAACTGCATATTATTTGCATTTTAAATTACATTTTATAAATTCTAAAGTACATCATTACTGTATAGTTCTTGCTTTGAAATTGTGTGTGTATGATTTTTATAGATGTCATAAATTAATTAAGAAGACTTTGAATGTAGGTGACATTCCATAGAAGAGAATTATAATCGTCGTTTTTTAAAATAAATATATTATTAAAATTGTTCAAAAATATTTTTAAGAATTTTTTTATAAATTAATGTTATTCAAACTGCTGAGAATTCAACAGGCACTGTTAGACACGCTGTGAAAGAGGATATTCCTCTCGGAAATTGGCATTGTTTGGGCACACTTTATCTCGCGTAGATAAATGGGCATAAATTCATTGATGAAGTGATCTCATTTTATACAATAACATTGTCCACAATGATATGCACATTTCTCAATTATCATAGGATAATCCATTTACGAACAGCAAAATAAATGTTTCATCACTCTTTATTCTGAGTCATAATGGTGTAGTATGCCAAACAGAACAATAGATAAGAATATTGTTTTGTTTAAATGAGCATTGCGATGGTTAAATTGGTATGTGTACTGTATATCCATATTACAATATATTATCGTTTGACTTTAGCTAACAAAAGACTTCTAAATATAACGAATAGACGATATAACGAATAGAATAAGATGAATAAGCAATTGTTCTCGCAAATTGACAAAAATCATTATCTTTACTTGAAATTTCTTTTGGCGAGAATG